TCTTGTTTATTCCCCATGCTATGTGCATTTATGTAAAGGCATTTAAGTTGGACGCCCGATGAAACTGACTTACTAGCAGGAAGTGGTTGGAATTCCTTTGTGGTGTTTTTAAGGTGCTCACCTGCTGACCTGTGATCCTTCTTCCAGGCTCTGGGCATCTATTGCTGGCACTGGTATCAAACGTGTAGGGGTGGGATGGATTGAGGTTCTCCTCCCCCAGCAACTTTAGTTTAAAGCCCTCTTCACCAGCTTGGCAAGCATGAGACCGAAAATGCTCTTCCCCTTCTCTGACAAATGGACCCCATCAGCCCCCAGTAGACCAGGTTTCTTAAAGTGAGTCTTATGGTCTGAGTAGCCAAACCCCTTGCTGTGGTACCAGACCTGTAATCATTTGTTGATTTGCTAGATACAACTGTCCCTTTCAAACCCCTTCCCTTTGACTGGGAGGATTGATGAAAAAACTACCTGCACTCTGGATTCCCTTACCACCACTCCCAGGGCTCTGTAATCCTTTTTGAAACTCCTCAGGCTGCTCCTGGCTGTATCATTGGTGCCCACGTGAAACGATAGCAGTGGATAATAGTTGGTGGATTGTACAAGGCTTGGTAGTCTCCTGGTGACATGACCCCTTTGCACCTCTGGATAGAATTATTTGATGGCATGTATGAAGTTAAAGATGTTGTTATTTCTGTACAAATAACTTTATCCTTATTTCGTGGCATTTTGTTCTTATATAATGAAACTTCATAATCAGATATCTGCTGTTTGTTGTGATAACTACAACTAAAAATAAGCTGTGGCGTACAAAGAAGAGCTGAAAGTGAAATGCACTCATCAGTAGAAAGAACTGTCTGCTTTTGTGATTTGCAGTTGGGGTATTTTTGTGCTGGTTAAGGAATTCTGTTTGAATGGGAAGGATGGAGTGGAATCATTTTTTAAAGACATGGTACTTTAAGTAGGTAGGAATTGCATGCATTATATCAGTCTGAATACTTAGAGTAGCTGGCAGGTAGTTTAATTGATTTCCCATTTTCTTGAGCAGTAAATTAATTATTCTGAACTCTCCTCAGCATGTCAGATGATACTTATTATATACTTATTCGACACTTATTTGGAAATTGGAGGGCCATAATTACCAGATTTAAGGTGAGAAACTGGGTTGTACTAGTATCACCTACTATGTTGTAATGTATAGGAACTCTGCAGGTTTTCAGTGCTGCTTTGACACAGATGGGGAGAAGTCTTTGGATGCAATAGACCAGAAGAGTAATTTTGTTATTTGGAAGGAATATAATCATAAGTGACAGTATACCGTTTCTCAGAACTGTTTTTCCTAAATAAAAGGCATGCAAGTTTGTCTTGTAACTGTTCTGTTCATAATACACAATTAATTACAAGTATATATTTACTATTAGTTGATATGTATTTGGCTTGTTTTATGTTAAATTGTAATTGCATTATATAAGAACTTTTTCTTTGTTTGCTGTGATTGTTAGCCCAACATGAGAAAGGACTATCTTCATGCTGACAGTCATTTGACCAAAGATGGATAATCATGGAACCCAGTTTTTTCATAGAGACAGAATGCTGTGACTGAGACAGAAATCCATGATTATCATGAAGCTGAACAGCATTTTCTGACATACAGATTACATTTTTGCAGTGTTACAGAATTCAAATGCCAACAGCAATTTGTTGAGAAGAAAGATGGGTGGGCATGGGGTCCCTGTCAAGAAATACCATGAGCTTTAGAGAACTCAAGAACTTACCAAATTTTACTAAATATTGGTTCTTTTAAGGTTGGACAACCAAAATGCTTGGCAGTTTTTGAGACAGGCCTGTGAATATATCTAGTCCATTAAAAATCGAGTCATTTCTTAATTGTTTGTAGCACTGGAAGTACAGTTCTCCCCAGAAGTAGCAGAGTAGGCCCTCTATCATGGTGACCTGATGGAGAGGTAGCCACGGACAACAGCAGTTGAGCAGCAAACAGTTGTTCGCACTGCTGTCTCCAGTAATGTGTTCTTCTGGAGACAGAAGCTTTCATTGTCTAGGGAGTGTCAGTCTTGCAAACGATGCAAGTTTTTTTCGAAGTAAAAGGTATGTGTAACGAAAAGTCGTATCATAATACCTAATAGATACAAGTTACTAGACCACACAAATATGCTGACAGTGGTGATGTTAGCATGACATGCCACACATCTTTGAGCGAACAGGAACATTTACTTCTTTGTGTGCTTGTCTTGGCAGGAGCAAATGGATTTGGCAATGTGTAGCCATTTCTTTACACAGCGGATTGCTGATAACTTGCACTGTAGAAAAAGCTGTTTTGGCTTGTAAGAAACTATCACTGGTCTGTTTGTTAGGCCCTGAAACTCAGTCATCCTGAGTCCTGACCAGCCAGTCTTGGAAGCAAATGCCTGCTTATGATGATAAAAGAGAGAGACTACTCTTATGATCTGTTTAACCGCACTTTAAACACAGGCATACTGGTAAAATTCTACATGATGAAAAGTACACTGGGTAAGTCTTTTGGCATTTCAGAGCAGAAGAGTCATCGTAATTCTACAGTTACACATGAAGCACTTGAAAAATGTTCCTATTGTCTTCCTCCCACCCCATCTCAGCAAGAACTGAGAAGCTGTGTGTACGCACAGAAGCATTTCAAAACACCGCTTAGGTATTTTGAATTGAACAGAAGATGTAAGCTGTAACCTTCCATTAAAAAAAAAAAATGTACAAGTGGATTATTCATCTTAAACATGCCGGAAAAATTGCTTAATGCTTGCTTAATTGTTTTTCTTCTGTCCATGATAAAAGCGAGGGCAGGCTGAGACTTCAAAGTTGTGCAGTTCTGTGTATTCTTATTCCTAACAAAAGTTCTGCAGCTGACTTTGATCTGGAGCCCAGGATGGGGCCCAGCTTTTCAGCCTCTTGAGTGGTATGACTCTTTAGTTGGATTCTGTACCTGAACCTGAGCAGTTGTTCAGCTTCGAGCAGTCTTGTTGCCACTCCTCTTCTGCTTCCTCTCCCATCCTGTGTCTCATCTATTCAGTGAATAACTACTTTGGGACGGTCCTGTCTCTACTCCTCTTCACAGAAATGATACAGATTTCTAGTTAAGCCTTTATCAATACTGTAATTCTTCATACAAAAAAGAGAAAGGGTCCCACTGGTAGAAATACGTTAGATATGCTGTGCATCTTGTACATGTGTAAGGGAGTCAACTTTGCACTTGCTTGTCTTACATTTCCCATTCCTGACATTTCCCTGACAAAAAAGATTTGTCATCTTTTGCAGTCATTCATCCACCATTTCTGTGTAGTCTCTGAGCAGGCTTTCAAGTCATATGTCCAACCATGAAGCATGAATGAGGTACAATAATTGCATGTATATGCACTCTTAATTTCTTCTTTGTTTAATAGCAGTTACTGTTAACCAGTTTTTAACCCTTCCCTTCTGAGAAAACTGTGATATTGCATGGCGTGGCTGTTTCCACTGTTACCTTCTGTATGAAAGAACTATAGAGTTCTTTCACCTTGCCACTGCTCACTCTTTTTTTAAAGGAATATCTTCTGCTTCTAGGCATATTCATTTGCTTTGTGATGTCTGTTAAGGATCCAGGCATCTTGCTTGTTCCTTCCCTTTAAACTCTGCAATACTTGGAAACATGCAGTAAAATACTTAGAAAATACTAGCTCAGAACAGAAGATTAAATTGAATTATCTATTGTTGGGTCCTTGGGATAGGGATGCAATGCTAATAACTTGAGCTACGGTGACTGAAGATTTATGAAGAAGGAGGTACATTTGGAAAAGAAACGGAAATTCTGAACGCAAGAATATATTAGAAAAATAAAAGTATCACTAGGGAGACAATAGCTCATTAGTAAAAAAAAAGATACTAATATCTCACAATTTTTTAATCTACTTTGGCCTCTTGAAGAATGCTATTGATCTAACAGCAGTATCAAAAATATGAGCTATGGATGTGCTTAAAACAGAACAAACAAAAAAGGAGCTCACCACTGTAACAAAAAGAAGCCTTTTGCAGGAGTTTTTCACTATTATTTAAAACAAACAAAGAAAGAAAACTCCCTGTACCTGAAACCTTTATTAGGTTCTATTGTGACCTGGTCCTTGAGTAGATAGGACTCTAAACATTACAGCGAACATGAAGAAACAATTTTGTGAATTTTCCCCAAGGAGGTATGTTTTTATTCAGTTTTTATTCACTTCCTCAGTCCTCAGTTTCCATGTCTTGAAATCATGCACTGCATACATATAGAAGGTGTTACAGAAGTGCCAAGACTACTTGGGAAACTGAGCCTTTCAGATTTTCCTAAATACTTATACAAGAAAACATAATTATGGGAAGATGGCATCAGCTTTCTGATGAAAGGTGTGTGCAACCACTCTGCATGTTTCCATTTTCTGTTGAAAGCACTAGTTACTGGGTGGAAGGAGAGGCACTGTGAGCACAGCTGGTGCTGATGTTAGAGGTGAGGTGCATAAATGGAGCAAAAGTTGAACTTTGGCTAGTGCTACTGCAAGGCAAGAGGTACAAGACTCATGGAAGAATTGCTGCTGCAGGACTTGTGGTTCTGAGACTTGGAACTACTGGCTGGAAACAAGGGGCTGAAAGCTCTTTTGATTATCCAGGTGGCTGAGAGATAGCAGCCATGACCTTGTCCATAGAGTTAAGGGTAGAATTTAATGTACTTCCCCAATCTTGTCCATAGAGTTAAGGGTAGCACTTAACGTACTTCCCCACTGCACAAATACTTTAGGTGAGGCAAGCTGAAAATATCTACTGTGAATCCTTGTCTTCCTCTGAGGTTTCATGTGCCTGTATTACTTGGCACCGCAGCTCTGATTTTAATCAGAAAAAGATTGGCAAAGAAATCAAATAAAAGAATACTGTCTGTTTCTTGTGTTATAGTACTGTAACTGGCTGATTTTTTTAATATTATTATTTTTTCTTCTTTCCCTTCCCCAAAGAGCCTACTCCTTTCACGTTACTGCAGATGGTCAGATGCAGCCGGTTCCTTTCCCTCCTGATGCCCTCATCGGTCCAGGCATCCCTCGCCATGCCCGTCAGATCAACACTCTGAACCACGGGGAAGTTGTGTGTGCAGTCACCATCAGCAACCCCACGAGACACGTGTACACGGGTGGGAAGGGATGCGTCAAAGTCTGGGACATCAGCCAGCCTGGCAACAAGAGCCCTGTCTCTCAGCTGGACTGCCTGGTAAGTGAACAGGAATTTGTATACAAGGGTAGGTTCTCCTTGGAGATTCAATAAGGAAATAGCTGTCCTTGTCTGGATTTTGTTCATATTATAAGGAAATAGAAGGCAGTTCTGTTTCCTGCTTTACATATTTAGCTGTCTTTTTCTAACATGTAATGGGTGGAGTTAGAGTGGTGGTTTTTTTAGGGATAAATTTAATCACTGAGAGTCAAATAACAGATTAGATACGCTTTCTGAGTAGAGAGTGTACCTGATTTTTCCCTCTTTTTCTTTTTTTTCCTTCTAGTCATGCTGATGTTTTTTGTGCATGAGTTTGAAAGGAATGTAGCCTAGCTTATGCAGGGCTTCAAAGAACCATCCTAGGCGTTTCACTCACACCAGGAGTGACAACCTGTTTTTTTTAAGAGGGTAGCAACTATGTAATGCAATAATGTGGCAAGGTACCAAGGTCATTTTAAGTCTCACAATGCTTTTGTTGGGATCCACAAGTTATACATTTGGTTGGTTGTTTTCACTTCTGCAGGATACAAAAGCCACTGAGTGCAGTAGTATAGGTAGCTGAAAAGATAACTCAAAAAAGTTAACAGCTCAATAAAAGATGTTTCTCATATTAGAAGCAGCATCGCTTTTTGTGTAATGTTAACTGGGAAGACTTAATGCCGTAAAGCACAGTAATATATATTCTGGGTGAAAATAATTCTAGCTTCAGTGTTGATCCAATTAAATGTGGTTTTTTGTTTTGGTTTCATCTGGGGTTTTTTTGCCTTTACCCTTTATTTACTGTTACGCTTATGTTAGTTGTCTAGTAGTAAAAGTATGGTTGAATATGTATTCAGTTCTGTGCAGGTATGTGTCTAGATGCAGAGTCCTAGCTGCCTTGATTTTAGTTACAGAGGAGTAATGGCTGACTAATTAAGCCAGTATTTCCACTGCACTACTTGCTGCTGCTTTGCTGTGAATAAAAAAAAAAAGAAGCAGTAGTACGAATGCTGTTGACTACTTCTTGCAGTGCTTTTTTGTATGTTTTGAAGTACAGATCTTAACCCTCCATTACTGTTACCATGTTAATTTGGTAGCTGTTGTGGAGAAATGGATGTCCAATGCACTGAAGGAGTCAAACTTTTGTAATAAGTGAAGTTTGGAACGTTTTCCACCCCTGAATCCCCTGTAGTACCTCTCAATCAGCAATAGTGTCTCAAATGCAAAACTAATATTATAAGTACAATAAGAATCATGTTGAATTACAAAGGACCAGAATAAATCTAGGACCAGTATGGGAATACTTAATATTTTGATTTTAAAATACTGAATGGAAAGTTGTATTTGAAAAAAAAAACAAAAACCTTCAAAACCTGAAAAGTGTGAGACTTGAACTGCATTTTGAGGCAGGGTTGCCTAAATGCCACATGAAAGGTCATTTGCTTTAGTATTTCTATTGTTGGTGACCCTAGCTGATGGAGTGCACTTGCAGAAATGCAAGCTTACTCTTTGGCTCTGTTTTTGTGTAATGAGATGCAAGACTTGACATTCGTCAGGTTTAAAACAGGGTAGACTGTGGCAACAGGAGTCTGCAGTTTAATTTCTGCAGCTGCAGGCTCTGATTAGTGATGAGAAGTAGCTGTTTGAAACCTTCTAGGATCTGCTGGTTCCTCTTCAGTACTTTGGCAATGGAAAAAATAGTGTACTGTTTAAAACTTGGATGCAGTCAGAATCATATTAGTGGTCATTATTGGCAGGCATATATTAACATAACTGAGGTGATTTGTGTTGTACAGAACAGAGATAACTACATCCGCTCTTGTAAATTGATGCCTGATGGATGCACCCTAATAGTTGGTGGGGAAGCCAGCACATTATCCATATGGGACCTGGCAGCACCAACTCCTCGTATAAAAGCAGAGCTGACATCCTCCGCCCCTGCCTGCTACGCTCTGGCTATTAGTCCTGATTCCAAGGTGTGCTTTTCCTGCTGCAGTGATGGGAACATCGCAGTGTGGGATCTGCACAATCAGACGTTGGTCAGGTGAGTCATTACTTGTTTACAGAAAACTTTAATAGAAGTTACTCTTTGGACAGCTACATAAATATTTATCTCCCTGAATAAATGGTTCATTACAGCAAAGTAAATAGTGTTTCTTATCCAAAGAATGCAGTTTGCACCCGAGTTGGGCAGAAACTAGTTTTGGTAGCTTCAACCTAATCCTGGAAGCTGTGTTTTCAGGGCCTGAAGGGTTGGTCCATCATCTACTACTGAAGTAATTGGCAAAGTTCCTGTTGTTTTCGGTTAGTTGGGATTTGTCTGCAGGTTTCTACAAGCAACATTTCTGCTGGTTTGTGATTGAGGTAGACTGAATATGCCTCTTTGAGTTTTGTTCTTTTCTTTTGTTCTTAAGCCTTGTTACGTAATAAAGAGAATTTTCAGTTCTTATTTAGTGATGATAAGTGATAAAATTAATCTTACAAAAGCGCTTGAAAGTGTGGATCCCCTCAGTCCTTTAGGAAAGCATAAAGGACTGATGTTGGTCATTCATGAGAGAAAGTTTTTTTTGGGGAATTTCATCCTAAAACTTTTAGGATGGGTTGCAGAGTATAATAAATGGATTGCCATGTAAATTACTTTTTGAAAACTTTTGTTAGACCTTTGATTAATGAATATATTAGTAGAAGATTAAAGTGCCTTGCAGGTCAATGTTCAGCACTAGTGCTATGATGCAAAAAGAAAGATAGGGCCATGGGTGAAATGGCTCTTAGCTGCTAGCTGTGTGGTTCACTAGAAGATAAATTTTGGCTTATGCTTAGCAAAGTGGTGGTGACTTTACAATATTATGAGAAGAGAGCCTGAACTGGGAAGGGCTGTGATATTTTAAAAGTTCCAAACACAAATGTTGAAGAATCTGCTTAGTCTGCTGTGTTTCAATTAAATTTCCTGTATATCAATAAGAAGCCTAAAGTTGTGTGCAGAGAGTCATATTAATGTGCATATAAATTTTACTTTCTGTTGAACTTTTAGGTCAACAAAGATGATTTTAGTTATATAAAAACTTCAGTTTGCCCTATGCATGCTTAGCCTCTGTAAAGGTGCACTCGCTCCATCTGTGACTGTGGCTTTTGAATGTTTGCTGTAGGTGTTCCCAGCACTTGCTGGCTGATCTTGCTAATTGATAACACGTGGAATTTTAAGACCAGAGCTACAAAACAAAATGTGCTGCGTGACCTTTCTGTGGCAGCTCTTAGTGATTCATACTCTTCATTCCCAAGCTAGTTGCCTTCCCCCCTCCACCCGCCCTCCACCTTTCACATCGAGGCATAGGAGTTTCCTAAAGCTAATTGCTGATGAAAAATGCAGGAGCCTCAGAAGGCTTTTGCCAAAGGATTAAGGAAAACTTGAGACGACCTTCTGGTTGATGAAAGCTGAGAATTACTAACGAGAAGATTTTAAAACAAACTGCACCATGTAGATTTTTGTGATCGTCTGCCACAGAGAATGCAACTTTGCTGACTCAGCAATGCCTGTGTTTAACTATCTGTATTTCTATCTGGATCCCTTCCTATTAATATCTCTGCTTATTATTTATCACCTTGACTTGCAGCCAAAGAAAAATACAGAAGCTCTTTTCTGAAACTGGAGTTTTGTTCCCTCAGCACTTGTTTTAATCTGAGTTGACCTTAGTGCTTTTAACTATAGTTACTGTACTTTCATGTTCTCACCAGCTTTTTTTTTTTTTTTTCCCCTTTTCAAAACCTTATAGGAAATATTTGAGTTTGTTCAGCTAGCCATGATGCAATTCATTTCTCCAGCACCTGGAAAATGTTTTTGTAATACTGTTGTATTTCATGCTCAGTAAGAGGGAGGGGATGATTTTTGCCCATCAGTAGACACAGAAGAGATGACACACACATACAGAGTCCAAAACTAACACCACAATGGTGTTTACCTTGAGCTCTGGCAGGAAATCATTATTCAATCTGGTTTGTTTTATCAGGCAATTCCAGGGCCACACAGATGGAGCCAGCTGTATTGACATTTCTAATGATGGTACCAAGCTCTGGACAGGAGGTTTGGATAACACTGTCAGATCTTGGGACTTGAGGGAGGGGAGACAGCTACAACAGCATGACTTCACATCACAGGTAACTGGATTTTCCTGTAGTTTGGCGGGGGGATATGTGGGCATGGGGTGGAAACATTTAGGATGAAAGCTGAGATTGAGTCCAGTGCAACTGGCAGATTGTTCCCTCTCTTCCTTTTGGCTGCTCACAACACAGTATTTTGGACCTTTCTTATGTTTAGCTTCCAGAACAAAATGGTAGCCTGACATTACTCTCTTTTTCTATTTTTCTAAGTTACTAGGTAAGAACAGAGTTTATTTAGTCACTTGAATTTTGAAGAGCAGTCTTACTATTGAACTATGTGAATTTTATTTGGCCCTTCTCTCTTTCTCCCTTGCCCAATTAATTTAGCCACTGTAGAGAAAAATAAAAAGTGTAAATGTGGTTTAATTTTCAGATATTTTCTCTTGGTTATTGTCCTACTGGTGAATGGCTAGCTGTGGGAATGGAGAGCAGCAACGTAGAAGTGCTACATGTAAATAAACCAGACAAATATCAACTGCACCTTCATGAGAGTTGTGTATTGTCACTCAAATTTGCTTACTGTGGTAAGTTGCCCACTTAAGACAGAACTGGAGGTCAGGGCTCGAATTCATGCTTTGCTGATTAGTTACTACATAGTCATAGCTCATTTGATAATCAAAACTTATTTAGAATCTCAGTTATGAATAAATATCTCTGCTTTATGAATTCTACTATACTTATCTACAAATAAACATCTGTTTGTCTAAAGGCTGCTGTTAGGGTTAACTTGTGTGTAAAAAGCTGTTTCTACTTGAAGAGTCTAGGGATTTCCTCATGTAACACACTGCAAAAGCATGAGTGTCCACAGTGATTGTAAGCAAAAGTACTATGTTGATGAGTGATGAAAGCTTTTATAACGGCAGTTAGTTAACAGATTTCTTAGATGTGAGTTGAAAACCCAAAATTTGTCAGAGGTCTGTTTCATATGTTTTCATAGTCCTTCTGTTTTATATTCTAGGAAAATGGTTTGTGAGTACTGGGAAAGATAACCTTCTTAATGCATGGAGAACTCCTTATGGAGCCAGTATCTTCCAGGTGAGGATGATGATGCTTTTAAAGAAAAAACTAGAATACTCAGAGTCCCAAGAGTGGACTCGGATTTCTTCACCTATGTGATCTACCCAGAATGGGATATTGAGATAAGGGTAACAAGACTTTTATAAAATTATGTAATATATTTCTATTTTTCTTCTAGTCCAAAGAATCTTCGTCAGTGCTTAGCTGTGACATCTCTGTGGATGATAAGTACATAGTCACTGGCTCTGGAGACAAAAAGGCTACAGTCTATGAAGTTATCTACTGAAAAATATGATGGGGATATAACTTTTAGAAGTTGAACTGGGCCAAAATTGTTCTTAATTGTACAAGTAGAAAGGTTTTACCTTTTAAAAAGGAACAAAAGTATTGAGGTTCCAGACCTTGCCATGAAACTACTCCAATTTTTCAAAATAGAAGGCAACATCCAGCAACTAAATATTGGCTACGTGGACCAAATGGAACACAGAGGCAAGATGGACAGATGTAGCCTAGGTTTTTGACATAGTTTTTAAAAGCCAAGTCTACTGAAGAATGTTGGAGCCTTTTATTTTTTTCTTTCTTTGTGACCTCACGCAAATTGTTCTCATTGCCTGAATATGGGGGATAAATACCTTTCTGTTCCTTGCAGTTCAAGTTGCATTCTGTCCTGTGTAGAGCAGTGGTGTCTCACATGAACTTGCTTCCTGGTTTTGCATCTTGTGATATGTTTTTGTATTTTTGTTGAAGGTCAAACATTTGTATAAACTGTAAATATATTTAGTTTACTACAGTAAAGGCTTTAGTACCAACAACCAGTCTTCCCTCCCTACCCGCTCCCTGCCCACCCTGCTTATTTAAAATTAAAAACCTTTTGGGGATATAAGTACCTTTTTAGAAGCAAAAGCAAACACTATGTATAGTTTGAAAATGGTGTCTTATTCTTTATAACTCTTCCTAGATTCCTTTATCATACTTCAAAGTAGTTGTTTTGACATATTAGGGTATCAAGTCCAGTAGATACTGTCTTGTGCTGCAGAAAATTTAAAAGGCAATTTTGTACTAATTATAGTGTAAATACAAAAATTGAACATTTCATAAAGTTGTGCAGTTTATTTTAAGTTTATTCTGATGTCCTATGTATATGTTCTTTGGCAGATACAGTAATATGTGCCTGATCATAACTCATTCAGTCATTTCTCTAGAAGAAAAGGTGACTTCCTTCTCCCTTCTCCCCCAGCTGAACACAATTCATGCAAGACTACATTTCAACTAAGTACACCGGAGCCTTTGTTCATTAACTGAGGATGTCTATGATTAAACAAAGCTAGATAAGTTGCATCCTTCGTATTATACAGAGAAGTGGTAGTTAATGACCATTTCCTTTTTAATGTCTTGTCTATACTTAGATACTCAGGTAAATTTAATTAAATTACCAAAAGTGTGAGTTTTACAGGGGATCACTTAATGTTAAGTACTTGCAGGGCTGCAAGTGAAGTGAATTAACCTAAACTGAATTAAACTTGCTTCTTAATTTCTTGTGAGAATATTGACAAAGGAAGATTTTTAACTAATCCACTGTACAAATTAATTAGAATTAATTTTCCTGAGTGTCCCATGTTATGCAGGCCTATAGGCTCTATGTATTCATACTGAGCTATCTTTGAATCCTTTCCACTCTTGCATCAGTGTGTGACATCTGTGAAGAGCCATGCTAAGCAGCCAGTTACCAAAGCTATGCATCTTCAAATCAGGTTTTCTTGGTATAAAGAGAAATGGATGAGGAGAGAATGTGTACATTTTATTCTAAATATGTTTTTTCAGATTAACGAGTTCTACCACTGTGTGCTAGAAAAATCTGTGTTGCACCAGTGAGGGTCATACATTTCCTACGTTATGTAATTTAATTAGAATTTCTTTTGCTAATGGAGAGTACAGGTGAACAGAAGGATATCTTTGAACAAATAATTCAGGTTACACAAACTGGCAGGCAGGTTAAGAGTCCTCGTCTATAAAGAGCTGCTTTCTTGTTGTGCTAGCAAATGACCCGATGGCCTATATCCCTGCTCTTTCAAAGACACATAAGTAGGAAGAAACAAGTTTGACTGACAGATGCATTGACTGGTTAGGGAATTTCTCATCTGGGGGCAAATTTTCTCTCAATTTCCAGTCTGAAGAGACATCAGTTTTCTTTTCAATTTACATGACCATTCTACTGAAACCATTTTATAGCATCTAGAATTGTAATAGCCTTAACACATTAACTTTGCATTTGGAATGTAAAATGCTAACCATTCAGGGTAATCTGGTTTCCTAGACATGTAAAATTAGTGTTCTATCCATATGTATATCTTTGCCTATTGCTGTGTTGTGAATATCTATCTGTGTGAAGGTGACAGACCAACTTAGGTGGTGGTCATGTTCCTTTCACACATGGTAAGGCAAAAAGCAGAATCATCAGGCTTTTCAAAGAAATAATTATACATTGAAATACTGTGAAGTGCTATGCCATTTCAAAAAGGAAAATTTCAAAAAAAGAGTATGTACTATGTTACTTGATTTTCATGCTGATCCTGTTCTCATATGGAAATTTTTCCAAATGTCTGACTCTGCCAATGATCATTGATTTTTGTTTAGCAGCACTGGCAAATTTTGCTCTAGTTAGGAACATTTGGCTTTCTTCCAAACTCCTGTCACCTTGGCTTTTACCTTATAGGTGTTCGTTTGCCTTTCTTAAAAGTTGGTATCAGAGGAACCAAGAATGCAAGTATTCTAACACACTCATGTAACTTCTAAAAAAATATACACATGTATATAATAGATCTGCTATGAATTGTGACATAGTGGTTGTTCACAGTTGACAACATTCTCGGCAATCAGAAGGTTCAAAATCATAGCATCAGGAAAATCATGAAATACATTGTCTTGTTAGTTTCTAGAATGCACAGTGAGTCAGCAGTTATAGAATTGGACATTATTATTCACATTGTTATGCATGTGAATGAATTTAATCATATTTGTACCATATGTTTCTTAGTTGTAAATAAGAAATTCTTTTTTCCCCAATCAGATCTACTTTAAGTCTTGGGTCTGAAAACTTGGGGATGCATTGTACAATAGTCTTCTCAGTTTTTTGTTTCAGGTTTCACTTACAGTTTATGAAACTTTTTTTTTTCATTTGTCAAATACTAGAGCCTATTCCATCAGCAGGTGTATTTTTTAATGAAAAGATACATTTGGTGAAATCTTGGCATGTATGTCTACACTATTACCTACAAGATTTAAAACTTCCGTAAATTTTTATACCTCTATGTAAAGTAGTAGGTGGAAGTAATTGCATATTGAATGAAGAAACAGACCAACCCAGACCAGCAGTAATAGAAGAGGCACTGGGAAAAGCACATGGGAAAAAAGAGGTACATCAGTAACTATGGTGTAGGACATGAATTTTTTTTTTTGTCAATTTAATTACAATCTTAAAAGATTGCTTTGATTAGCTCCTTTCTGGGACAGTCTTTGTTTGCTGGGTGACAGTCAGTATTCAGACATTTCTCAGTGCCACTCCGGCAAACACTGGTGCCAGATAGAAGCAGGGAGTCCTTAGAAATGACATATTGGATGTCAGTGCAAACAATAACTGATGAAGAGGAGATTTGTGGCAATATCAATTCAACTGAACAAAATCTAACAGCTCTAACATGTATATGTGCACTAGGCATAACCTTTTATGAATCAATTATGCAGAAAATCATGGAATTATTCCACACAATGCATTTATCAGTCTGTCAGAGTACCTCTTTTTGATTATAGTTCCAAGTAAAGATAGTTCCCCACATCAACCCACAAGCCACTGGTCCTTGAGAGAGAATTTTCATCCACGTTAATTCTTTTAAACTTGTTTGGCATTTCAAATACTTGTATTCGTTTAAAGGGAAGAGGGAGCACCAAATGAATATGAAGTTCATAGACTGTTAAATCATAGTGTTTTGTAATATCAACATCAAAGTAGAATCTATCTTCTAGTCATATGCATACTTTTGTGTATAAATGGTTGACCATAATTCTTCTGTCACATCTTTGCATTGGTGATGCAGGTAGAATTTTCAGAGGTTACTTAAGTAACTTAAACGCAGATTGGCAATTTGATTTTTTTGTGTGTGTGTGGGGGGGGCGGTTTGTGGAAAGGCTGCCCCACTTATCACCTGTGGGATCAGGTAATCTAGTTAGAGTAGTCCTTTAGATTTTCTATTATATTGGTGCAATTTTGAGTCAATGGGGAAGTTCCACCATTCTAGTGATTAAGAAAGGTGGATGTTAATGTTTTCAGGCTAAGGAAGAGTACTGAATTCAGATTTCGCACTACTGATAAAGTGTTTACCCCTTACACCACTTCACTGGAGAAGCTGGACTGGCTCCATCTGTGCTGTCTCTTTGAAGGATTTGGTTTTTTTTTTTCCCCCTACCACAAGTGCATAGAAAGAATGTGAGAATGTGGGCCTATACAAGACTTGAGTCACGGTGTCCTGTCACAGCGAGGTCTGTCATTATGAAATGGGAAAGATGAAGCAGCTCAGGGTAGGACCTGATGAACAGCAGTATGCAAAAAACATTTCATGGCAGAGAATACATGGAGGGACAAGGGAGAATAGGACCATACACACACATAAATTTTAGTGGTAGTCTAACATGTAATCTACAAAATTCACGTAAAATGAGGTTCCAGTATGTATTTTCACTGACTTCTGTTTCTCCATAAAGTTGTTCAGATGTTTCTGCACAGTAATTCAAGGACACCTGAGCTATATATTGGAACTAGAAATGAGCATTTCTTTGACATCCATCAGCAGTCATCTAATCCTAAGGGAAAGGAGAGTTAAATCACAGCCAGTTCTCAACATTTCCCATTACCTAATATTTTGGTAGCTCAAGATCAGCTTTCCAGCAATTGATAATCCCATTTTCAGCAACATGCTCCCTGATGTCCCATTGCAGCTTAAGGACTTAGTGTAGCATGGTAGATTTTGCTAGGGAAACCAGACATGTAGGAACTGGGTGCTGTAAAAATCTGCCATGTGGGTCTAGCTTACTGACATTTCTGAGAAGTTTATTCAGAATTTCTGTTCAACTATATAGGAGATCTCAAACACTAATCTAACATTTTCTAAACCAGAAGAAACTGCGTGTTGAACACACTTTAAGCACATGGATGTGGGTGGGTTTTTTGCTTTTTTATGTTGATTTATTTATTTTTTTTCTTCTTTCATAACTTTAAAAACTGTAAATTGAATATAACAAGAAAACACAAAGGGAAATAAGAAGAATGAATGCATAATTGTTTTCAGAGGGCAGAATTTTCTTAAAGATGCTGTATCTCAAAACAAAAGAACCTATTGCTTCTACGATATATTAGTTCTTGAGGGAGGTGGGTTTGTGTTTTCTTGGAGCTAAAGTGCTATCATCAGAAAAATGAATACCAAAAAATTGGTAGTGTGGGGACCAATGTTAGCTATTATTTTTGAATCTGCACAGAGTTTTGTTGTGTGCCCCCATATTCCTTATTGGCAAGTCCCACAATTCACTCCTACGAGCTGAACAACAGGCTCATTCATTACTAAGAATTTTGTTGCTAACAAGTCTGTTGGTAATATGTAGACTACAGTAAAATCTAATTGAATCTTCTAGTGGATAGCTGCATAGATAACATCAGCCAGTGTGTGTTTTAATAATTTCCCTTAGTAAAGCAAGGACCCAGAGATAAGATAGTGTCATTGTTCCATAATCATACTTTCATTGTTTGTGGAATTGCTGGTTGGTGTAGTTGATGCACCATAGAAAAATTCTGTGGTGGCTCCTGAGGTAAAACTTAAATTTTGAGATCTTTCCTGTCCTAAAATTTTACATGTGGTTTTACCCACAGTAAGGTTATGTTGATTGATAGAAGAGATGCTGCAAGAAGCACTAGATAATTGCTATTGCGTAGAG